TTTTGCCATCTGTAAGAGGCCAAAATGTTCTTACTGTTTACCTTGTATTGGAGTTTCCAAGCGGGACAGTGAGTTAAATGGTCGCTTTAAGGACAAGCGGGCTAAACAGATTTCGGGGATTTCTAGAAATCTTTACCTACACCAAAAGTGGTGATTACCCTACCTATATGAGAAGTTTGGTTTCATTAGTGAGTAGAATTGATTGGTTATAGAGAAAACTCTCCTTGTCTTTTAAAGAAACTGAACAAGAGTAAACAAAACTTTTCCATCGATTTTCTCAAAACAGCATTTTTCGGGATAACCCCTTTGTGCTTAACCCTATCCGTACGCCCTGGGGTCATTTTGTACCCCTGGGGTTGTATTCTTCACATTTTGGAATACGTCTAGTGCGAAGATTGAAACTTTTAGTATTTCTCAAAAAATCATTTTGACAGACTGCTATGCAAAGCGTATGGGTACAAATCGGATTAACGAGTAAATGTGAAGTGTGCTGACAAAACGAGTTACTTCTCAGATTTTTAGACCGATGGAAAAAGAAAACATTAAATTTATAGGTTGAAGTTTTACAATTTATCAGTATGAAATGAAAAAAAGACATGTTAAACTTGAAGAGAATGGCATTGGTTTAGAGTCTACAAATATGACCCTGTTTTGATTATTTGCAGATATCTCCATTCATGCATTGCGAGAAGTAACTCATTTTGTTAGCTCGCTTCACAAATTTCCTCTTTGGAAAGTGGCGGCACAGAGTTCCCCAGGTCGTATGAATACGAAAATAAAACAAGACGTACGGATAGGGTTAAAGAAACTGAACAAGAGTAAACAAACAAAACTTTACCTTCGTTTTTCTCTAGCGTAGACCAAGACGAATTTTTTTTTCATAAGAGTTTCACGGCATTTGCAACTCAATAAGGTCATATAAGTGCCGAAGATTAGAGGTGTTATGACCTAATGCAGTTCCAAGAGCCGTAAAACCTCTTCTAAAACAAAACAAACATGAGGTGTAACAAGCACAAAAAAAGGAGGGGAGATAAAGATGATAGATCTAGATGTTTGATAGGAAAGTAGGAGCAAACCACACCAGAGCACCCGCCAACCAACCACCCACCCAAGACGGATGTCTAAGAATAGCTCATGTCTATACAAAAGTTGTACCAAAGATTGGTTGTACGTGCTGTGTAGCGGGAACACGTTTCTGGACCGGGAAGTGAATTCTTCAAGCACGAACTAGGGCTGGGCAATGAGTCGCTTTAGCAAAATCCGGATAATATTATGTTAGTGCACCTCTTCGGCAAATAATATGATATAAACCGCTTTGGCAAATGGGTTGGAACTACTTCGACAAACGGGTTAGCCTAGAACCACTGGGTGTTTCACCCACTTCGGCATACAGGGAGTCAGGACAGAGAGTTAAGAGTCTGAATTCGGATAACGTTTCAGTAGAAATTATCCGGTTATCCTTATTATAGATTATCCGGAATCTGTCCACTTCAAGCACGGACAAACTGGCCCGGTCTGAAGGATATGAAAAACCCACACAGTCAGTCGCCATACTGTACATGGAGACAAACGTACGTACAGGACAGCTACTGTCTCTGTGGTGTTCTGGGGAAGGTCTGCGCTGAGGGTAGGTGTTATTTCTTTACCTAACTGTTCTTTGTTTTGTTTTGTTTTACCTTTAAGCCCTTTAAGGTTTATAACTTATATTTCATGTTTGATTTTTCAAACGTAGATGCAAACATAAACACACATGTTTATATGAACACACACATACTAATATAGGCCTACATCTCATATTATATACATACGTTAT